ATAAGAGGCAGTTGCTTCCCATCTTCCGGCCATATTCACCTGTTCGAAGCCACAAGTTGAAATTTCCCAGAGGCTGAACACCAACACACAATGACCCCTAGCAGAAGGAATTGCCGAGGGGGTTAATCTGCACTCTTCAGCCTTTTGGTGTTTGAATAGAGAGGATCTGGAAAAGCAGTTAGGTTCTTCATGGTGAAAGAATGGTGGGTGTTCTCATTCTGGAGCCCCCTGCCACCACATAGGACCTGTACTTATCCTAGACATTTTGATTTACTTCTAATGCTGCGGGGTTACCATGACTGTAAACCTCAGCCCCAGGCTGGTTATAGCTTTCTCTCACACTACCTACTGTGCCCTTGTTGCCTGTTCTTCACCGCTGAGAGCGACCTGGACCAAAACAGACGTGTGTGCCTGCTTAAATCCTCTGTTCTCTGACTGGGGGAACTCTTTTCGTTGCTCTTGCTGTCTGCTTGCTGCAAGGGGAAGGGAACAAGCCAAGCTAGGAAACTTCTGGCTGAACTTGTTTGAGGGGAATCTGATTCCAGATAACTGCAGCTGTAAATGGTGTGCATTGTACTTGCCCACAGAGTGCATGCCTATGAAGGACCGCACCACATGTGTACTGGGGTTTGGAAAGCTTCAGTGAATCCTGTGGCAAGTGTCTTCAGGAAATCTTCCACCTCCTGTTTGCTCTTTAGATCCTGACTGGAGAAGCAAGGATTCATTGCGATGGTCTTCCACGTACGCCTGTTCACAGTCACCAGAGTGGAAACTATTTTGCTGATGGGGAGCTGAAGGGGGAGGAGAGGATTCTCCAATCCAGACAGCTTTTCTGGTCGGTTGCTGCTGCTCTTTCATTTGTGACAATGGAAATGTCACAGACTTGCATTACAGGCCACTGACCAGAGGCTGTGCTCAATGTGTGCATGGATAGATTTAGACATTTCTCTCCTCTTTGTGTAAATGTCTCCTCCCCCTCTCCTCCCCTCCCCCCAAAAAACTTGTTTTTTTAAATCTGTTTGCTGCAGTTATGAGGGAAATTGGCATATGATTGGACAGTTACAGGCTTTTATTGAGTTGAAGGGTTATTAGAGCAGTTGGGTCGTTATGGTATTACGTTAACTTAATCCTCTTTTCTTCAAGGACTTCTGTGCATTCCCACTAATGGGCTTCAGCACCTCTGGCGCTGAGCTGTGGAAAGTGTGTAGGAAAGCTGGGTGTGCTGGGGTGGTGTTAGGAGCACTCTCACCCAAAGAGGAGGTAATTGGCTTGAGATAAGGAAGCACAGTCCCCATCCACCTTAGTTCCATTGCCACAAGCTAATGGATCTACCTCTCCTGTATGCAAAGCTAGCTAGCCTTCTTTCTTAAAATAGGTTATTTGTGACCGTTGGCCTCCAGTTACCCTGAGACCATGTCTGGTCTTGAACCATGTAAGGGGTCAAAGGATACGTAACCTGTTCAGCCATCTTTCCTGAGACAAATGCACACATTCGGTGCCTTATGTCCCTGAGAGAAATGCATGTAGTTTCCCAGTGAACAATCCACCATTCTTATACTCCTTGGGCAAGGAAGGACAGACTGCAAATGTATTTGGCTTCAATGAGCCTCCAACCGGGCTGTCCTGATACTCCTGCAAGAGGTTTGAGGTCTTCTGTCATGTGACCTGAAACACACCTAAGCACTTCTGCCTCCTTTAATGTTGGGCTGAAGGTCCGCCTCCCTGAGCCCAATACCTACAGTGTCTGAGCTTCCCATCTGGCACCACAATCTGCACTGATACCACAGTGATATTGGTTCTACTATCTGCACCAAAGACACCTTTGGTGCCATTAGAATCAATGCCAGTGAACGCTGTAAACGAAATGCACGCTTCCAGATCTCTGCGTGACCCCTGCTCCATGGCCCTAGAAGAGAAAGCATTCCTACTTGTGGAGGGAGTCAAAGGAGAAAAAGTGGCATCATTGTCATTCTCGACCAGTGACCCATGTTTCCTGACGTCGGCTTCCACACACACCTCTCCTTAGCTGGAGGCTTCGTGGCTGAGTTTTGTAGATCCATCCCTGGTGTCTGTGGACCACCTCCCTCTGTTGAGTATTTCCACTCTCGTTTGGGGACTCCCATCAAATCTGTTGTCTGTGCCTTTGCTGCTTGACTCTGTGCAGCAGTATTCACCACCAGTTTCAATCAGGATCCTTCTACAGGAACTCGAGTTCTCCTTGGAACCGCCTGTGCAAATTCTGCTGTTCCAGAAAACCCAGTTGGCTTCCTTCATCTAAGACTCCGCTGGCATGGAAAGACGTTCTGCAGAGCCCTCTTCAGTTACTCACATGGCCCTACGTTCAATCCCAGCACTTCACTATCGGCTGCTCTGGTATTAACACTGACAACCTGCTGGTATTGGAGGCACCTGCACCATGTAGAAAGTTGTCCTGGCACCAAACCTCCCCCAGTGCTGTTGTCTTCAAGAATGCCTGTGTTCCAGTCCGTGCAGATACCATCGGCCCAACCTGCTCAGGAAGAGTGGCAAGTATATGATTGGCAGGAAGATCCCTCAGATGAAATCAACCATGGCATGTTGCCCGGCTTGGGGAGCAGGGTTGGGGCATGGGGGCTTGCCCCACTCCGCCTGCCTGGCACTCCTGCCAGGGAGCGGTGTCAGGGTGCAGGGGCTCCCATTTTTCTGGCACCCCTCCCCTTCCTGCCCCCCATTGGCCAGGTTCAGAACAGCCCAAACAATACTGTAGGTGAGAGTATGTGTAATTTATTTGGAGTTGGCTCCTCTGGGCTATTAGACTTGCAAATGGGTCCAGTTGCCTGAAAAGCTACAGTGATGCTGTCCGTGGTGCTGAATTTCTTTATAATTCCATATTACATTATACATTTCTTAAGAATAATGTTTGAAGGATGCTAAATGAGTAATAGATCCTAATAAAACTGTTAGTTCATTTAAGCATCTCATCCAGTAACTGAACTACAGCAGGCATTACAGACGTATGTATCTTTGTACCTAGTTACTGACTTTCAGTCCTAAATACAGACCTGTGAATTTCCCTAGCTCTTAAATTCCATCATGGTCTTAATGCTGTTTTATATATGTGCTCGGTTGTTTAAGAAGGTGGGTGTGGGGCTATGTTTAAGAGCTTCTATAATCAGACCATGTATTTTACATAATTACTT